GTAGTTGACATCAGTATTATTTTTGTAAATTATGCCAAATGATAGAAAGATGGGTCAAGACTTGAACAACAAAGCTGGTCACAAACTTGATAGAACGTTTGATTTGAAGAACAAAGCAAGAAGATTTTTTTAAGTTATTTTTGGGGGGGGGGGGGGCTATAATTTTGGAGCCAGCGCTTTAACCCACGGCCTGCACAAAAAGACAAGACAAAGACGTTTGCCAGTCAGTGACAGAGAGAAGTCGCCCTCTCTGAAACGCTGGAGCACGGGACGGGCGTGTGAATGAAAAGCATGAAGGCTCCATGGTGTCAGACATGGAAAGAGAAACAGGAGGAAAAGAAAGCACCAGCTGGCCTCCACTTTCACATGGCCTCACCGCTCGTAACAGTAGTAATGATCAGACTTTTGAAACTAATCCAGAGGCAGAGAGGAAACAGAGTTCCTGCGATAATGGAGGATATGAAACTTCCTGCGCAGACGAATGCTGAAACTCGTAAGATTTGCTTTTTCTGTGGAATTTTGGCACGTTGTGCATAAACACACATGTACAAAAGCTGCCCGCCCTCCCCCACACGCATCCTTACTTCTGTCACCATCCTCCTAATTTAAAGAATAAGATGAAAGTGTTGCATTTTCCTTCAGTGGAGCTAAGAGTCAAACAGATGTTTTATTGCCAGCAAAAGACTTTTGGCTTTTCTTACTTCCTGTTGCAGGACACTGTGAAAAATATGTTGCATAACGGCTTTGCTTACATTACAAAATATTAACCATTTTCACTTCATATGCACTGAAAACAAGTTTATTTTTCAGTTTATCACATGTAAGGAAACAGTTTGTTGATGTGATTTGTGCAACAAATAAAAAACTGAGGCCAACTTTGAAAAGAGCCTTTAAACTCTATGTCTCACGTTTTCATTATGAGACTCAGACGAGCTGATTTTACTGAAATGTTTTACAGAAAAGGTGCTGCTGAACATGTGCAGCTGCTGTGTGAACCAAGCAAAACGTCCTGGCCTATAACTCTTCTTATGTCTCAGGCATCATTCAGTGCTAACACAAAAAAATCGATCGTTCAAGACGTTGTTTTTTTTTTAATGCTAGAAAAAGAATCATGCAGTTTCAGGATACAAAGTTATTCCAAGCACTGAGAGGACTTTCATAAACATGAAACTATTATGTGGAGCTATGGTGACAACCCCGCGGGGAAAGGAAAAGAAAACACCATTTGTCATTTGAAAATGTGCACCCTTGCACTTGTGTTTTCATCCTCGCGTTCTTTGCCCCTCGCCCAAATGATCCCAAAAGTAATTTTAAGAAACCTTGAGAGTTGATTTACGGCTCGAGCCTGTCATCTTAATCAAGCGTCTCAATGGAAGCAGACAAAAGTCTTAACACCAGCCTGAGCCCAGCGAGAGGGCCGAGCCAAGCGGCGGCTGACAGTTGTCCTTTTCTGGCCGTGATTTAGGTGGGGCCTGCTCCACTGCTTTCACGCTTTATCCCCCTTCTCCTTTAGCAGCGTCCAGTGAGAGGGGTTACGCCGTGGATAAAGCTACCCACGGTCTGCATTCTTGCTCGAGCCGTTCAGGCTGTCAGGGGGGCTCCTCTGATTTAGGGCGCCCCACTTCAGTGGCCCCTATAAATTTAAAAACTAATTCAGTGCTCTGCAGGACTTTTTGTTTTTGCAGCGGGCCCTCTTCTCCTTATAGTTACTGACAATTTTATGAAGTGCTCTTAATGAGCACCAGATTAAAGGTGGCCTCTGAAGGAAAGTGTGTGAGAACGCACGAGCGGAGGGAAAGAAGCTACGAGGAATGGTACGGAGTGACACCAAACACCTTAAATTTGTGTTGCGTTCGTCCAGTCCACAAAATGAAGCATAGGAACGATGAGCGATGGCGCCAACTTACCGTAAAATGTAGGCATTTTATACCAGCCTGAAAGTAAACACAGCCTGGAGTTTACAGCCAATTAAAGAGTACTTAAAGGCCTGCGTTTATGGAGGTAAACATGTTGGAGAGTTTAGGGAGGCTCAGGCCAGTGGGATACTTGAACCCTGCTCTCAGGTTTGCATCAGTAGAAGGATGGTAAGAGCACATGTATACACAGAGGGATTTGTGCCAGCAGATGTTCTCCTCACACTCTATCTATCAGACACACTGACAACCATTAAAAACAGTGTGTGAGCAGCCGTCCTAATGAATCTAAACATGCCTGTGAGAGGGAGGGGTGCATTTTTGTTGCTTTCTTAAGAGAACCACCTCTTGCTTTTCTCAGGCTTTCATCGCCACCTGATGCATTTCTGCCCAAGCGACACTGCGATCGTGTAAACATTTATTTTCCTTCTGCGCCCTATAGATGTTAAATATGTCCTGTTTGAAATCCCAGGCGGTTGTTTAACGGAAGACTTGCTTTAACGCTTCACAGAAACCAAGCACAGCACGTGTTTTACGATCTCGTAAACGAGCAGCGATTTTGTGAAACGTGTGTCTTTGTGCTTGGTGGATGGGTAAGTGGGGGTCTTGTGTCTGATAGGGTTTTATTCCATCCACCACCTCATGCACACACACACACACACACCTACCCACCCCCCTTTGTCTGCATGGTGGAACACTCCCCAGAGAGCAATGCTGGACACACAGGAATCTCTGTCCAGATTTCCAGAGATTCTCCCGTATCGCTTACACAAGAGCCTTCACACGATGAGCCGACTGCCTGAGAGCTGTTGGTCTTTCACAGCCTGAAAGCTCCAATATGGAGCAATGATGTGATTACTGGAGGTGACGTAAATATTCAGCAGTGAGGACAAACTATCGCCATCATCTCCCATTCACTCAGTGTTTGCAGTTTGTTGTCAGCGGTTAAATGAATTCAGCTGTGCAAAAATAAACTGGGTCTATTTTTTCTTGTAATTCCTGCAGATTTTCATCAACAACGAGTGGCAGGACTCTGTTAGTGGGAAGGTGTTCCCCGTCTACAACCCGGCTACCGGAGAGCAGATCTGTCAGGTCCAGGAAGCAGACAAGGTAACATTTCTTTAGATAGAGAACTTCACTAATTGGCTTCTCTATGCATGTGAATGCTCCTGTAAAGTGCCCTGAGACAACTTTGTGGTGATTTGGCGCTATAGAAATAAAATGAATTGAATTTTCTCTAGGTATTGTAATTGTGCATTTTTTTTTTTTAACATTATGCAAAATGAATCCAGCAGCTGTGACTTTGCATCATCTACAGAATCAGTCATCTTGAATAATTTTATACTTATGAAAACAACAATAAGTTTAACTAACAGGTGTTGTTTGAATGCTTTAGGCTGATGTTGATAAAGCAGTGCAGGCGGCTCGACTCGCCTTTTCTTTGGGCTCCGTTTGGCGAAGAATGGACGCGTCTGAAAGAGGCCGGCTGCTGTCCAAACTGGCTGACCTTGTGGAGAGAGACAGCGTGTATCTAGCCGTAAGTAGACAAATGAAAAACGCGTATATTCATTGTTTCATATATATTTTTCTGTATTTGTTCATCATTTTTCAGTATCTTTTATCCCAAACTCATCTAAGGCTTTTTACATCCTCTGCAAAAATCTGTCCAGAGGACCTGACTTCACTTTTTTAGATTTTCCGCCTGGATTATTGAGCATGCATCAGGTTATGTCCTCTGCAAAGCTCTCTTGGTCTTGGTCGTGTTGGAAATTACAAATATTTGCTTTGCCTTCAAAGAGAACTGAGGGCTGTATTTCTGTAGTTTAATGTTATCCTGGTGTCACATTTCACCCGTGGGTGAGTGTAAAGGATGGAATAGTTTGGAATTATGTGAAGATCACAGGGTTATATCACATATTTCTCAAACGTCTCCCTGCTCTCTCCTCAGACCATCGAGTCGCTGAACAGTGGGAAGCCTTTCCTGCCCACCCTGTTTGTCGACCTCCAGGCAACTATAAAGACTCTGAGGTACTTTGCTGGATATGCAGACAAGATCCATGGCACCTCCATCCCAATGGGTAAGAGCGTCTTCTGAGCAGAGTTTGAGTGAAACGGGTTTCGGGCAGACTGGTGATGGAGGAATATTAATTTTACAAACAGCTTGTTTTTAGGAATGTGACTTAAACTGAAGCAAAATTGATTTTTGTTGCTATCTTTCAGTGATCGAACGCGTTTCCTTTTGGGCATTTTGTTTGGACAAACGGTTTTGTTAAATTAATATAAAACACTTTTGCTTTTTGTGCTTGAAATAAGGATTGTGTCTATATAAGTGTGTTTTTTTAATATTAACATCTTAGACTAGTTTGCTTATGTTATGACCTTGATATTTTGTTGAATAACTGAAGAAATTTTAAAAATAATCTTTAAAACTTGTGTTTTTTTTATGCATTAACAAAAATAAAAAAATAATTATTTTCAGAGTTTAGAATTTTGCTCTGAAAATGTGACTATTGTCTAGTTTTCAAAAAATATGACATTAATTTGTTGCATTTCAATTCAGTTAATTCAAATTATGAACTCATACCATGTTTATAGAAAAAACAATTGCAATAATAAAGTAAGAAATAAATACATTTTCTGGTGGAGCATGAATTTTAGAGTCACGGCCTGAAGACAGAAACTTCTCCTCCATCAGATGCAACAACAACAGATACTTTTGTTGGGTGACACAAACGGGCTCCAGTTGATTTAATCCATCTTTTTATGCTCAGGCTCTTTTCAGCCCACTCATCTCTGCTGATCAATCGGTACAGATGATGCTCAAAGCAGGTTTTTAATCACCTGCTGCAGAGTCGTCCTCTCTCCAGTTGTGGTGACGATGCATCAGCCTGTGAAGTCTCCAGGTCTCAGAAGGTTTTAAAAGTAGCTGGGAAATTGAGCTTTCTCTCTTTTTTTATGTAGAGAAAACCTGACAAATGTTTAGCGACGTAAAACTGTTCACTGCTCTAACACAGCTCCAATACTGTCTGTTTATCTTTGTCCTTTTCCTTCTCTATAATCATCACTCAGGTTTTGTGGCCATGTTGTTTTTATAAATGTAGAAGCGAGTTTGCTACTTCCTGAAACAAGCTTTGTTCGTTTCAATTTAACCAACGATGGCGTCATCAGCAAACATCAAATTAACTTTAATACAATGACGCACTGATATCGTACAACATGTCAAAATAAAATCAAATATTTCAATTAGCTTCAAAAATCCCAAATATTGAAAACGCTTTTTGTTTACATAAAAAACGAGGTTATTTGTAATGCTTACCACAAGTTATGTGTATTTCTTATGATGTGAGAAAACCTGGACTTTTTAAGGACATTTCTCTTATTTTTGGCAGCGTGGTGGCGCAGTGGTTAGAGCGGTCACCTTTCAGCAGGAGGGCTGCAGATTACATGTCGGTGTGGGGCTTTTTTGCATGTTCTCCACATGTGACCCTGGGTGCTTCATTTTCCTTCCCCAGACCAAAAACATGCATGTTAGGTTAATTGGTAACTCTAAATTGTCCCTAGGTGAGAGTGCAAACACTTTTTTGTCTGTATGCGTTCCTGTGATGGACTTGGGACCTGTCCAGGGTGTGCACCCCCTCTGTCTGCTGCAGGTATCAGCTGCCAGGCTACCCAGGTAGGAAGAAGTGGGTACAGATAATGGATGAATGGAAATTATATCTTGCGTGTGTGACTGGAAACATAAAAAGTATTAACAGAAATGCCTGAATGCAGCTGATAATGATGGGTCCAGCTGCAGGCAAGAGGTGGAACACCTGGAGAGCTGGTGCAAAGAGAATAACCTTCACATCAATGTGAAGAAGACAAAGGAGATGATTGTGGACTTCAGAAGGAACAAAAACATCTACACCCCCCTGAACGTAAGAGGATCTGCGGTGGAAGTGGTCTCCATCTACAAGTACTTGGGTGTACACATGAATGACATCCTCAGCTGGAGCAACAACACCACCAGCCTGATCAAGAAAGCTCATCAGAGACTCTACTTCCTCAGACGGCTGAGGCGAGCTGGTCTGGGAAGCTCAGTCCTCACCTCCTTCTACAGGTGTGCAGTGGAGAGCATCCTGTGCTCCAGCTTCAACGTGTGGCATGGAGGCTGCACAGCTGCAGAAAGAAAAGCTTTGCAGAGAGTGGTGAAGGCTGCACAGAAATCTGTCGGAATCAGCCTCCCCACCATCACAGACATCTACACCTCCAGATGCAGGAAGAGGGCCACCTGCATCATGAAGGACCCCACTCACCCAGCACACACACTTTTTGCCCCACTCCCCTCAGGAAGGAGGTTAAGGAGCATTAAGTGTAGAACCACTAGACTGAGGAACAGCTTCTACCCTGAGGATGTTAGACTCATGAATCTCTAACTAGAATAATCACTGTGAAAAACCATATCATGTTGCTGCTGATCTGTTTCATGTTGCTGCTGATCTATTTCAATGTTGATGTGTTCATGCGTGCTCATCTGCTCACAGACTCATGTTCATGTTCGTGCTGATGTTCAATGTTTTATGTTATGAGTGCTTAGTGTATATTTAGTTGATGTTTTTCTTAGTTCATATCTTAGATGTTATTACTGTTTTTCTTATACATTTTATTGTTGGATGTAACTGGGACCCTGTGTACATAATTTTGCTCCACCACATGTACCACATGAGGTGCGAATGACAATAAAGAAACTCTGACTCTCTGACTCTGACTCTGATAATTGACAAGTTTCCTGCAGGATCAATAAAGTTCTTATCTTATCTTCATACCATGCGTGTCCTTTGCTAAAAAGAAAATTTGAGGTGCATTAACTAGATTCATGATAAATATAGTGAACATTTGTTATTTAAATAAAGGAAGAAGAGCATCGACTACAAGCTGCCAAGTTTGTGTGATGAAGTGTGACACACTGAGGGTTGTGAAAAACGAGCACGTTTTCTAAATTGTGTATTTACCTTTGAACTTTGTTTCTTTTCACTAACCTGAAACTATATATTTTCACTCTAATATATTTCTATTTTTAAATCTAAGTGGGTTTGAATACACACAACCATAAAACCACCTTCTTCCACCTGCGTAATATCACTAAAATTAGAAACATCTAAAAGTGATGCAGAAAAACTGGTTCATGCATTTGTCACGTCTAGACTGGACTATTGCAATGGTTTGTTATCTGGGTGTCTAAATACTTCTTTAAAAAAATCATTATTTTATCCAAAATGCTGCTGCCAGAGTCTTAACTGGAGTTAGTGGGAGAGATCATATTTCTCCAGTTTTAGCTTCTCTCCACTGGCTCCCTTACTTCTTACCTACAAAGCCCTCAACAACCTAGCTCCATTTTATATTCGAGATCTTCTTCTTGTTCCATATTTTCCCAACAGAGCACTTCGCTCTCAGACTGCAGGTTTACTCGTGGTTCCCAGAGTTTACAAAAACAGAATGGGAGGAAGATCTTTCAGTTCTCAGGCTCCTCTCTTGTGGAACCAACTTCCAGTTTCTGTCCATGAGGCTGACACATTGTCCAGTTTTAAGACTTTCCTTTTTGATAAATCCTATAGTTAGGGTTGGCTTGTTATGCAGCTATAGCCTTAGACTACTAGAGGGCAAACTGACCTCATTTCCTTAAATGAATTGTTAAAATTGAATAGTTTTCATTTGACACTATTTCTATCTTAACATGTGATTCTTGACCTGCCATTGTGTATCTGTTCCTCTCAAACCCAGCCGTTCGAAGCCGATGTTCCTCTTGTCCTGAGCTTGGTTCTGCTAAAGGTTTCTTCCTCATGAAGGAGTTTTTCCTTCCCACTGTCGCCTTCATGTTTGTTCAAAATGAGAGTTCTGTGATGGAGTTAAACTCAAAGCTGCTCCTCAGATAAATAATGTTAAATTATTGTTTTATGTATGAATATTTCTGTTCAGTGCCCTAAGTTGACAAAACAAGTTTCCCCCAGAAGCCATAAGTAGTTGTGTCAAGTGATAGTAGGAGTGTTGGACCCCACCCCCTTTAATAAGGTCATGATACTAACTGTGGCCTACTAGTAAAGGTTGGTCATACATTTCCCCAAAACAGGATGTTCTTTTTTTAAAGCTATAAAAATGACGCTGTAATGGGTGTCTACAATGACGTCTGCAACTTTGATATATTTTTTTGGTATTGCTGTACAAATATACTGTGCTGAGCTTTAAACATCTAAAATTGGAGAACTAGTCCAACTAAATTTGTTGATCTGAGTTGCTCTGTTTGCATCTCTTGTTGCCATGAAAACATATTTAGGAATTCGCAGCAACTTACTGCTTGCACTCAGCAAAGAAAAGCAACAAACTGGTAGACAACCCAAACACTCGTAATCGATTCGGCCGCCATCGTTGCCTCTCTGACACAGCTACACGTGAGGGTAGAACGGGGGCAAAGATCTGGCTTTCTTTTTCGGGGGGAGGTGAATAAGAGCCGACATGAGAAACCTGTTGAAACCACTGCATTGTCCTCCTCAAAGCTTCTGTTATACACGGCTGCCAAACCAGCTGTGGTGTGCGTTTTCCCAGGGCTTTGCTTTGAGCTTTACTCCTCTTGTAGACTTTCAGAGGAAGTAAGCCGCCCGTAGCCTGTATGATGTAAGGACTCGTGTTTGTTCACCTGTCAGGATACGGAGCTACCCATCCACCATCGACAGCCCCCCTTCTGTTTGTCTGGCATGTTAAGCCAAGATAGTGGTATTAAATTTGTATCACAGGCCGAGTGACATGAATAGGGAGTGTCATTCTGCGGAGCACCTTTCGGCTACACAGTTCGGTATCGTTTACATTACCAGTTCCAAATTGAAATCCAAGTCAGTTGCAGGCGTCATAGTTTCACATAAGCCTCGCAGATACTCGAGTTTCTCCTGAAAATCTCCCGTCTTTATAGTTTCTCTCTGCAAACGATCCCACATTCACTTTGTAATAAATAAAAAAAAAAAAAAAGAGGACAAACCATCGGGAAACTTCTCTCTACTGTTTCCCACTTAAAACATGAGTTATTGTGCTCGTCATCTCCCTGTGATGTTCGGTCCAAACACAACGTTAGGCAATAATCATCTGACCGCTGTTGTAATGAATTCATACGCACATTTCTCAAGACGAATTATTTTTGTGAAGACTGAACAAGCACGTCACACCCTCGCTAATGACAAGTAATGCAAGAGGAATGAACAAACCTTTCCAGCATAACACCCATCTCTGTGACTTAAACACACACACACATCTTTTCTATTGGAGGCTGGAAATGTAATCTCTCACCAGGGTTAGTGGAGCAGGAATGCTACGTGTGGATTCATTTACAAATTAACATGTTGAGTCAACAACAGTGGCAGGTGGTGACATTTTTTTATGTACTCAAGTTATTTTTCAAGCTTTTCAGCAAATTTAGTAACCCAGTTTTTTATCCCTCACAGATGGAGAGTATCTGACATTTACCAGACATGAGCCCATTGGAGTCTGTGGACAAATAATTCCTGTAAGTCTGACGCTTCCTTCACGTCACGTATGCAACGAACGTTATTGTGGAAAGAAAAATAGAAGACAGATAAGAAAAAATTGGCCGGGTTTGAAAGAAAACCGGTCCAGTTTATTTGATTATGTTCTGATTTTCCAGTAATTCCCTCCCAGTCATTGTTTATTTGGGTAAATCCTGCTGGTAAGCCCCCCAGCAACGACTGTGCCAGTGAGTTTGAGTAATGGGGAAACGAGACTTGAGACGAGCTGAGGGATTTAACGTGGTGTGTTTAAGGGGAAAGCGAATGATGAGAAAGGAGGAAAAGATCAAGGAGCAGGAGACACTGCTGATTGTGTAAGAGCGCAGAAAGCGTGCGGTTCTGCCTTCGGCCCCATGGGCTCCTCTGTAGAGCAGAAACAACACAGGCCTGCGTGTTGTACAGTGATACGGCTCTATTGCACATGTGTTGCGACTTCCCCGACTTTCTCAGAGCGTTGTGGGAAGAGAAAACACTGCACTGGTGCCGAGAACATTTTCTCACTTGACTATGTTTAGACAAAGTGAAAATGAGAGCGAGTGACTTAAGAGCATCGAGTTATTGAACTTGACTTGTGGCCACCCAGTGTGTCTGTTGCCTGATTCTTGTCTGCTTGTGTGTGTTCCCGTGTCATGCACAGTGGAACTTCCCTCTGATGATGACAGCGTGGAAGCTGGGCCCTGCGCTCGCGTGTGGAAACACTGTCGTCCTGAAACCTGCCGAGGAGACGCCGCTCACCTGCCTCCATATGACCGCTCTCATCAAGGAGGTAAAGCTCAGACTCCCTGTGCCAGCTATATATATATATATATATATATATATAGTTGCAGACAGTCTGGACAGTCATACACATCATGTGTGTGCTATTTGACCAAAAACACATTGTTATGGTGCGATTGCTTATGCAGGACATCAACAAACAGATAAGTGACAAAGTTTCACTTGTCTCTCTTGTGCTTCTCTAGCCACAAATAAAAGCAGAATTAGGACAGATGTTCACTATTATCCTAGTGAACCTAAAATCGGATGTTGTGCCTTACTGCAAGGCGTAAATCAACGTCGACCAAAACCTTAACAAGTGATGCCCACAACGCTTAACAACACTTATTTTTTTCTTAAACAGTGTTGTTTTTTTGCTGTTGTTCTTCCAGGTTGGTTTCTGTGTGCATGCCCATAAAGTAACTTTAGTAATCACAAATATATTCACATTGTCTTTAAACAGCATTGTTTTTCTTCATCATTCTGATAAAAATGGTTTCACAATATAATACAAATTACACATGTTCATCCATTGGTTATAAAAATAAAAAAAAAAAGAAGCTAGCCACAAATTAAAGACTTTTATATCCATGTAAGACAGTAGGGAGGGGCATTTTAAAAGATAACTTATTTCAGTTTTATCAAGAAATATTATATATATGTATACATA